TTGACCTGAACTGAACCATCCCTTGTAGTTTCCTTTCAGGGGATCACTAGAGTCAGTCCCAAACCCCCAGGCGAATCCCTGAACTAGCTAGCAAGGTCCAGGGACATCTGCACAAATGCCCCAATGAACCTGGTATAGGTCCTACAGTTCCGGTTCCCACAGTTGATCCGTCATGTGGGTTTCCCAAGACCCTCCAAATGTAGTGTTCAATGTAGTGTTCAATGAGTGTTCAATGTAGTGTTCATCAATGTAGTGTTCAATGAGCGCACATTGCGAGGTTGGACGCGGCGATTACTGCCGCGCTAAGCGCAAAGGCGTTGCGCGCGAGGGCTGATTAAAACAACAGTTCAGTAGTAATGATTTATCAGTTTGTCATGTTAGCTTTGTCAGCAACCCGTGTTTGTCCGGTAGTGGCACGCCTTCGAGGGCCACGCACTGGCCAGCGAACAACTCAAACATGACACTGGGAAGTAGCGCAACTTGCCAACTCAACAGGGGCTCCAGCCAATAGTGTCAGAACACTGCATTCAGCGACGCGTTGAACGCTACAGTGAACACTACATTGAACACTCATTAAACACTAATCTTATGTGCCATTAAAGTGTGTGTGTGTATTGTATATCTTCTGAGTGTACATGTATTGCGTATCGTGCAAAGTGTCATCAGGCGCTCGCCCTCTTTATTGCATCGCTTCCTAAATCGAGTTGTGTTCAAAACCCACCCAACCCAATCATGCGGTGTTTCTCGGAGGTTCAAGTCCTCCAAACGAGCATGGCAAAAAGGTGGAACCACCCTCCCTTTCTGCCCTGCCACAATTGTATAAGTTTGATAACAGAAAGAAACAACGGAGGGTCGAGTCTTGTCTGTGTTTCAGAAATTCCCTAGGAAGGCCCGGGATCCCAATTTCTGACAAATGATTAACGTCTCCGTCTGATGCTGACTTTTGAGGCGGCCTCTCCTTTTGTGCTTGGCTTCCCTTTAGAGTGATGTGAGGCAGTAAATAGTCATTCGACCCCCAACTAACATTGGAATTTGGCGAGTGGCGAGTGCCCCCCTTTCCATACCAGCCACGCAGCCACGGATAGCCCTCCCCCAAATCCTTCCCAAACCAACAGCAGATCACCAACAATTTGGTCACCGGCTTACATGCAGATTCATTGAGTGGCTTATTCCACTTGACGTCATCCTCCTTTGCCCAGGATGCGTCGCTATCGGTTGCGCCAACTCAAGGGGCCCTGGTTGACGCTTAGCGCTTGTTCGTCACACGGTTTGCGGGTATCAAAAGAATAGGACTCCAATCCTGACGGTGGCTTGCATGCAGGTACCGCTCGAACCACCAAACTAGCCTTCACTGTCCCCCCCCAAAAACCCCCCTTCCCCGCACACTTCAGGCCGCTGTTTTCCTACCTTCAGACTTGTGTGTTTGGTGCCCTGACTAAAATTAAAAGCAAGAGGTCGATTTTGAGGGAGTCACGGTGTGGCCTTTTCTGAAGGTACCCCTTCCCAGGACTCAAAAAAGGAGTCGAAAACGGGAAACCTCAACCATTTTGAAAATTCCCATCGGATCCGAGGCTCGGGCGTTTCAGGCTTTCGGCCCTCAGCACTCAAAGGGGTTGCTTACGGACACCGACGAATGAGCGCATGATTTCCTTTTAAAGTTCCCTTTCACACAAAAGACGCCACCAACAGCGGGCCTCCAAATGAAACCGTCTGGAGGTGTCAGCTGGAATGGAAGATCCCATTTTAGACAACCAAAAAAGCAGCCTGTGCACACCTCAATCTTGGTAAACATATCCTTGGCTTCCGAATAAAAACACCAACCCAAAGCGGGCTACTTAAGGATCTCCAAAAGGTGCGTTCGCACCTTGTGGAATGATGTTGGCCCACTTTGGAGCACAGCCGAATCGCCCAGGATGCGCCATGCTTGCCATCTCAAAAAATGAATGGACCCTCTCTGTTGGGACCCCTTCCTTTGGAACAAGAGGGTGATCCATTCCCGCCAAAAATATATTATACGTTCCCGCCCCCTCGGCCCCCCCCCCCGAAAAAGAAAAAACACGAACAGTGTTTATCAATAGGCTACAGTGCAGTTCTGCTACGGTCCAAGTTCAAATGGGGGTCCCTCTTTTCCGGGCTTCAACATGAATGTCCCAGTGAGGACTTTGAACATGGGGCTAGTACTGGTTCTAAAAATGTCCCTAACAAGGCCTGGAGTTAGGGTCGGCGGGAAACTTCCTGGTTTAGACACGGTTTAGTATTGGCTAGTTATCAGTATTGAAAGAGTTGTCGTCTAGAAACAACATCTATTGATAGGATGCATTTATTCATGTTGGGGCACAAATTACACTGAGACAATATTTTGTTGATGCTGTTTCATACTTTGTCTACCCTGAAATATAAATCCTTTAAGATACCGCAAAGAGCCTCTAGTTGGACCCCTTCAAAGGGGAATATGTTAACCAAACGTTGTGCACAATGGGGGGGGGCTTTTCGGGACGCTGGTGTCATGCTGTGTCTTCAGGTCCGCAAAAGGGACGACATCCCCCCCCCCCCACTGTCTAAGGAATCGAGTCCACAAGGCCTGCCAATTGGAGTTTGATAGTCGCGACCAATCTTTGGGATGCTGCTCCTGTCGAAATGGTCTAGCTCGGCCCCACTACCACTGGGTCCACTATAAAGGCACCTTCCCTCAAATACTAGCCAACATGAAATCCACCCAAATGTTGTTTGGCGACTCCCCAAAAACATGGTCTCATTCTAATTGGCCATGCGCAAATGACTATAACTCCCCAAACCGGAAATAGGGGAACCCCCAAGTAAAGGACCTTCTTTCAATGCAGGGAGCATGCTTGTTCCGTGGGCGCCGCTGCCTACGCCTGGCGCCTTTGCATGAAGTCTGCGCACTTTTCCGGAATGAAGCTGCGCGAGCGATGTCAATGTCGAAGGACATTGAAAGAGCTGCCGCCCGCTCAAGGCTTTCTTCTGCTCACTTTTCCCGTTCCCATGATCAAAACAAATGGACACCCTTTTGTGTTGGGATATTTAAATGGAAACGCCAGGGGCTGCCTTGCCGACGCCTTGCCCCAACTGTATTTTGTCCAAACATCCGGAAGCACTCCGTGCGAGACCCTGAGGTGGCCATAAAAGTATATTTGATCATATCCCCGAACAAGCGACGCTCAAGGGCCCCTGTGCGTGTCCTTCCCATTCGACCCTGGCACAAGGGTAGAAGTGGCGCCTGAAAAGGGAAACCAACCAGGTTTCTCCCCGTCTGTGTCAATCATCTTTAAGAGGCCTGAATACAGGGAAGTACCTGAAATGTTCCATTTGGTCTTTCATTAACGGTTTTCCAGCTCGTTGCCTGCTAGAATGAAGCGGGAGCCTGAGGGATATATGCTGCAGGCAGAATTCATGGGTCCCGCAAAGGACATGGGAAGTTTATAAGCCCTCTGGTTTGTGGCCTGTGTCTCAAACTGAGCATAGCCTAGTGACATATGTTTTGGACTGAACCTCGTTTGGCGGTGCAAACTTTCTTGAACCTCGAGCGAGCGCCTTTCGCCGGACAAGATACCTCCATCAAGCCGACGGAGGGAACATGTCCTCGCTTGGGACATTGTGTGTCCAAAAAACGAGAAGCCCTACAACAGTTGCTTTCCTTTTGGTTTCCCCCCCAGTTTTTGGACACCCCCATTGCCCCAGGGGCGAGAAAAAAACTCCTACTCGACTAATTACGCCTCTTAAGCCGGACAATATGACGCGGTCCAGTCCGAATCTGCCTGATCAGTCGCGGTTTTCCTCTCGATTTCCCTAGCCAACCACAACAAGGGTACCCTCAAAAAAGACACACATCCAGGGTCTTTAAAATCGGGGCAGTTGATCCAGATCTGGCAGCACCCAGTAGTTTTCGCCAATCAGCGAGCTCTGGGCGCTTTCTTTCAGTCTCACTCCAGCGGACGAACTCTGATCTTCAGCTCCTTGAGTGAAGCGAAGGTTTTCTAGCGGAAGAAACTGAAATGAGAGGAAACCTGGGTGTGGCATGATTTGGCATGGTTTGGCCAGTGTTCTCTCGGAAAGCGGAAAATGAGCGGAAATCGGCGGGACATGAGCGGAAATTGGCTATTCTAAAATGCATTGGAATGATGGAGAAATTAATCCATTGAGAACGAAGGTTAAATAATATAATATATTGTCAAGTATGAATAATAGGCTCCCCACATGGGGCGTTCTGAAAATTTGGGGAGCCTTCAGGCGGTTGGTGTCCTTTTGGTTTTCCCTTAGAGCAATCTAAACAGAGACCCTTGTTCTGATATTGAAAAGCATGCTCAGCTGGAAAGTTGCTCTGGTGTGTGTGTGTGTGTGCAAACAGCGATCAAATCAACAACCTAGGTATTGATCCACCTGAAAGTTGTGGCAAAATTGCGCGTTGCGGCGGTGCTAGCACACATTTTTTGAAGAGGTAGACGAAACGTCGCATAGTCAGTTGCTCGCTCGCATGCCAGCTGCCTCATCCGCGATAGACAGTCTCAAAATGCGGACCCCGAAACTGCATAATTGTGTTTTGATCTCCCGTTTGCAGCCACGTCAAGTAACCAAAAAGAAGGATATTCTGGCAAAGCCACTGCCCCCCCCCTCCCATACATAAGAGAACATGAGGGAAGGGTCCCTTCACAAAACGGCCCCAGCACAAACAATGTAATGAATAACCCCTTCCCATTATTAGAGGGTGTCCCCTCCAAAATGATGATAATGATTCCCCACTAAATCAAGGGACACCCCCTATTCATATTGATTATTCAGTCTAGGGTTAACACTAGCAGAATGTCTCCATCTGGAGTCAGCGCTGCAGCTTTTCGAGACCACTGCAGGGTGGTGTGAGACCTCGCAGCCTTTCCCAAGGCACTCGCGGCACCTTTCCACGCACTGCATGCGCTTGCTCATGGATGGATTCTTCAAATGACATTCGATGGTTGCGAAGCTTGCTATGTGGTCACTGTTGGTTCATGGGGAAGTATTCAAGCAGCTTTACCATCTAAGCAAGGCCTGCGGGCCAGATTCCAGCCGGGACAAGGACCAATCCGCTCAGCATTGGAGTTTCATGTATGTGCAAATGGGGAAAAAAAGGCGCGGCGCTTTTTTTGGCGCTGGATTCCAGCTATGCGACTTTTACACCTAGAAGCTCCAAGTACTGCTGCTGGCTTTCCCGGATCTTCCGCAGGATCTGCAGGCTCCTCGCCAGCGACGACACCTCCGCCTCCAGAGAGCCCGGCGCGACCTCCGCGGACTCCGCGGCGTCGGCCGCGGCGGAGATGGAGAGGTCCAGGGTGTGGTCCCCCGAGTTGGCCCGCGAGTGGGCCCGTTCCTGTGGCAAACAAATACAACGTGAAAAAACCGAATCGGCGCCTGTCTGTTGCCTTTGAAAGGGAAGTAGAGGCTCCAAGAAAAAAGCAGGAAGAAAAAAGAAGTGCCACTGGGCAACTGGGATTCCTTGGAATTCGGAGCCAAGAGCCCTGAGTTCTCAGGGCTCCCAAGATCGCTCATGAAGTCCTCCGAGAGCTCCCCGTCAGACTGGGCCACCGGGTTGGACCCGGACCCGGATCCTCCCGAGCCCCCGATTTTCTCCGTCTTGGGCCGGGGAGGGGCGCTGTGACTGGTAGAGTTGTCGACCTCCTCCAGCTCGGGAAGGCTGTCAATCTTTTTGGGCTCTTTCCCGACAGCACCCCGCGGGCCTATCTGCACCCCGCCAAGGCCCACACCAGCCAAGCCGATACCAGCGGATGGCGGGTCATCAGCTTTGTCTGTCCTCTCAGAGGGCTTGTTGGCCTCCAAGGGCTTGCCAGTCGCCAAAGGCTTGCCAGCCTCCTTGGCCTCAGCCAAGGCTCCACTCTCCTCAGCCTCGGATTTGCTAGTTGAAGCATTGACGGCCTCAGCCAAAGGCTTGTCGGCCTCAGCCAAGGGTTTGACCTCAGCCAACGGCTTAGCACTAGCACTCTCCGCAGAGAAAGATGCAGAAAAGGACTCCTCTATTGACGCTGACACGGAGGCGCTCAAGTCCTCTTTCGCAACATCCGGCTTCTTTCCAGCCGGTTCCGTTACGACTTCATCGCCATTTGACGCCTCCTCTTTTGGTTCTGGCTTTGCTTCCTTTGGCTCCTCCTTTCCAGACCCTTCTTTGGCTTTTTCCTTTGCTGCCTTCTCTTTCCGCTTGTCTTCGAGCAACTGGCGGTAACTCTCGTCTGCCGGGTGGTCCCAAATGGATTCCCCGGTCTCAAAGTTCCAGTAGAACACCTTAGTGCTTCCTGCGTCCTTTGCTAAAAGCTACACTTTGTGTGGGATACTGTGGATGGACGAATTCCTAAACGCGCTTGGTGGTTTATCCCAATACTTGTAGGGGTTCATTCATCTCAGGCGCAGAAGACTTGCTCCACCAGTTGCACAACTCCCTCTATATACCCCTCCTCCCACAAACATACCCACTAACATAGCATCTGCGGGTAGCTACCCGGAAGATAAATTTCCTCTGCCATGCTCGTGGAAACCTTCACCTAAGAAACAAAGTCCAGAAGGGCCACAAATCCCTCAAAGCTGAAGAATATTCGGAACCGCAGCCGAGACGCGTCGTCCCCGTTCTCGGTGCAGGCCTTCCAAGGCGCCGGCACCGGCGCGCAGACACCTTCCTTGGCGATCCACAAGAGGTCCGGCTCCTTTTCCACGTCGAGGCCCAGGAACTCCGCATATTCCTACAAGCTTCTTAGAGAAAAAAGGAGGAACCAGCAGCAAACCAGGGATTGAGTCAAAAAGAGAGAAATGGCAACACCTCTGCCTGGCTTCCGCCCGGTTTCCATGCAATATAACGAAACAAACGGCAAATAAAACATCTCACACACGGGTTCAACCGCCTCAATTCCACTGAATGTTGCTTTGCCACAAGGGGCCTTGATGTCCCCAGCCCAAACTATAAATCATGAAGGACCCCTAGTTGTACACAATGTTCCGTTTACCCACCAAGGGAATCCATGGAGAAAAAACAAAACTGGGCTCCCTATACATCAATCAGGGAGTGGGTATGGTGCCGGACCCGATTCCTTGATCTCCTCCTCGCTTGGCTCCCGCTCCTCCTCTTGCTCCAACACCTGCTCAGGATGGTGTTTGACAGGGTGGTGTTTGACAGGGTGGTGTTTGACAGCGTGGTGTTTGATGGGGCTCCTTAGAGTGGTGTTTGACAGGGCTCATTATGTCCCCGACTGGCACTAGATGTACGCGATGCTCGTGGCGTAGCCGATTTTGTCTAAGTTGATTGTCCCACGGCACACTGAAACCCGGGTGTGGTTGATGTTCCCAAGAAAACCCGGGATTGAGGTTCCTTTCGGCTGCGACGCACTCCATTGCAAGCCATCGGAACGCGAAACGGAGCCGTAGGGTCTGAGAACCTCACATCCGCCGCGCCTGGACCCCGGCCCGGCGTTCGCCCGGCTTGGACTCCGAAGAGTCGCTGTTCGCATCGGTGGTCATCGCGAGGTGTGCGGGGTTAGACACAAGTGGCTGGATCTGTTCATGCATACCTTGGGATGTATTACGTATGTGACCATCGATTTACTCGCGCAAATGTGGCAAAAAGCACCGAATCATATACCGAAAAAGGGAGAAAGCATGTCATTTCATATCAGAGCCATGGCCGGAGGCCGGACCAGAATGTTGCAAATGAAGAAATGTTCAATCAATGTACGCAACAAACTGGATGGATGGGGTCGGGGCGAACTTGCACGCGCTTTCGTTTCCGGCTGGCACGCACTCCGTGACGACACGAGTACGGTGCAAAGATGTACGACTACGTCGCGCAGGATTGCTGCATGTCGCAAGCTGTGAGCCAAGAAGCGCATCACCTTCACAGACCTTCAGACCTTCATCTCAAGAGAAGGTTCCCCAATCCGATGTTTCCAGTCAAAGGAAAGAAAATGGAAAAAGGAAGTACCCCATCCAAGTCCGTTGGACTCAACGTGCGAACGGGGTTCAATGGGAAACGCGTGCAACTTCAGGCCTCGGCCTTTCGGCCACAAACGAAGGCGCGTCCTCGGGCTGCAGGAACATGATGCCCAGGGAGGAATTGCTGAAGTTGGTCTCTTGCTTGGCCATGTCCCCGTCAGGCAGGAGCTGCGTGAATCGGAGCCGTGCAAATTTCGACGCGCTGGGAAATGACGCCGCACTCCCGTTTTGTGGGTTTCACACGTTCTTGAACCGTTTGTCGGACTACATTTTCAGGATCCAATTTTGGCTCGAAAGCAGCTAGAAGCAGCTAGAAAGGGTGATCTTCATGCTTGCCTTTTCACCACACTTTAAATAAGAACCGGTACAAAAGGGCAACTCACAGAGAGCGGACTGGTGGAATTGCAGATTCCTGGGTGTGGCCTACAATAGCAATTGGACCCCCCAAAGTGGCTGGTGTCCTTGTGGTGTCCACTCAAACATCATCCAAAAAGGTGTCCAATTTCAGTTTTTGGGCACCCTCCGAGCTTTCTCCACCAAGGCGTTCCCTCGAGAAACAAGGCGCGATGCGGTTCCCCGAAACGACCCGGAGGCACTAGTTGGGGAAGCTGAGGGGGGTCAACTTAAAATATACTTGAATGCCAGTGAACGCCGGTGAACCAAATCACAGAGTGGAACAACGGGAATCCTTCACCCCTGGGATACGTTCATGGCATGAACGTGTGTTGACTCTGCTGTAGAAAGAACAAATATTCGAAGAATCAGAATGTACTGTTGCAGAGGATTTAGTGTGAGCACACTGTATCGACCGGCCCGGCGTATTTACTCAGGTTTCCCCGACTGTTCGCGAGACTCGCGGTGATGGCAAAGCTTCCGGTGGGAAAACTTATTTGAAGTAGAAGCGCCCTTCAAGTGCAAGAGCAAAGTACAAGAAGCATAGCCAGCTCCAGTACAGCCCAAGGTCAATAGTCGTAGCTTCCAAATCTAAAGCCAACAGTCGTCCCACGCCTCCTGACACTTAGCAGCAACTCCTGTGGTGCTCTCTTTAATGTCCTGCCCCAGCCCATCTGAGGAAGAGTAGTCCCCAATAACAAACCCGAAAGGAACACCTCAGAAGCAGTCCTCAATACTAAGCATGAAAACAACATCCCAGGAAGAGCACGTCCCGTTACTGCACGGGGCGAGTAGCACCCCATACTGAATATTAAACAAAACAGCTTTGGAGTAGTGGAAACATGAGAGGAAGTCTTAGCACTCCAGAATACAAACATGACACAAACAGGACGCACTGTAATGATTGACTGCTTCGTGGGGTCCACGCGGTCAAGATTGTGTCACATCGCAACTGACCAAATGCCAACTTGTCGAAACCCCGGAGCCTCGTACTGCGTGAGCATCCTCAGTGATCGGACAGAAGTGCGCAACACTGCCCCCGTACTCCAGATACCCCAGCTTCTTTGGGGTATGATTCGTATGATGTTTAACCGCAGACTTATACAAAGGAGGCAAATACAATGTTCAACCAAACTGACCTCGGACCTCTATGAAACGGCAAACGCCCTAGCTGCGGGTCCGAACTGAAGTCAGCCCTTGGCTGCGTCAGCTTGCCAGAAAAGCATGAAGCACGAAGGCCTATGAGTATGTCTCAAAATAGTCAATCTCATCCTCCAAAAAACCTGCTCGTTCCCATGTCCAAAACTCCAATGCCCAAAAAGCAGAAGTTGAGTGCTGGACGTCAAGCAACAGCGTCTCAGCTCCCCTACAATTGGCGATTTGGATTGGTGGTTTGGTGGTAAAGGGGTGGTGGCTGTTACCCTCTACAAACACCAAGGGTTCCAATCCCAAAATCACCCATGCAAACCACCAATGAAGGGTTACTTGAGCCTGGAACTCTGCGGCTCAATAAAACAATCCCATGCCAAAGCGTGTGCAAGCGAATGAGTGCCACAACATCAGGAACCCAGGAAACCCATAGTGCTTCCAGTTGCCTGAGGTAACCAGGGTAGGGAATGATGCGAAACCCACAAGTAGAATGACAATCCCATATCCACCGTACCACCATAGATTTTGACACTTCTGGGCAGTCCTTCCTTGAAGCCTCTGCAGAAAGTGCAGAAGGTGCAGAAAGCCCTTGAAGAGTCAACTCTACAAAACTTTCGGTATGCTGAACCTTTGGTTGCTCTCAACAGTGGATAGGCTTAATTTGCGATTTGGCTCCCTCCAATCAACTTGCGGCCAAACAACCAACAAGCCAGCAGTCTCAGTATGTTGACCGTGCCGCTACGATTGCACCACACAGAGCAAGTGTGTCTTCAATGCAGGAAGCCTTGCTGAGAAATTACAATTCGTTTCCCATGCGCAACTCCCCACACCCCCCTCCCCCAACAAAGAAGAAGAAAGGATCTGGGCAAATGACTTACTTGGCGTTCTCTTCACTCGTCAACCAATAGGTTGTTGGCCCTTTGGGGGTGGTGTCCCATCCCCTGCAACTCTCCAAACCAATCCAAACCTACCTGAAACATGGCACAGACATGGCGAGTGGCTTCAGCAGCAAGGACCTCTGCTCCAGCAGCGAGAACTTGTCGCCCAAGCAGCGACGCGGTCCTCCCGGGCTTCTGGCCCGGCGCTCCCTTTCTGATGACCCGTTGAATGGGTTCCACTCCAAGAATTGAAAGGGGTTGTAGAAGATTCGGGCGGGGGCTTGGAGGGTCACGGTTTAGGGTTATCGGGGTTCAGAGCTGATCAGGTTTGACAGGCGATAGATTGTTGGCCAGAAGCGGCTAAGGCAGTACATTGGGCGCAAAACCAAGCAACCCGGCCGGTCAAGTGCCACCCACCCAGCTACATTTTCACAATAATGATATTGCAACTATGTGTATGTGAATCTCTATAAATGCAAATATGCATTGAAATATAGATCGCGTTTGTCCAGTCTCTGCGCATTTTGGATTTCCGACGCCGTCCTGCTGAGAATGGCAGATTGTTGAAAACTCTCGGCTGCCTGGGCCGCTCAGAGCATGCCCGGTCCGGGTCTACGGGTTTCCACCCAGAACCAACGGTAACAGGTCATCTTCAGGGCGTTCCCTGTTTTGGAGAACCCAAATTCTCGGATCTATGGGTTCACCATGATTCTCAACCATCATTACTTGCAAACACAAACAAACAAACAAACAAACAAACAAGCAAGCAAGCAAGCAAACAAGCAAGCAAGCAAGCAAACAAACAAAGAAACAAACAACACACAGGTCCCCCTCGATTTGGTTTTCGGCGGTTTCCCAAAAAGGGGAATCCTTGGCAAGAATGGGCATGTTATGCCCTGACAGAAACTTGTGCCTTTGGGGAAAACCGCTGAGGCGTTTTTTCCCATTCTGGTGAATGGCCCCAGTGGCGCGGAGGTGCAATGATAGCAGGCGGGGTCATATCTATTCAGGACAGGGGGTCATGGATGGAATCTGCCAGCAGCGTGGACCATTCAAGGAACATACAAGGTGGCGGCTCTTTGCCCCCGAGTCACTAACAGTCGCTATTCGATGGAAAGGTCATGGCCCTGCATTCATTCGCCCTAGTCACTAACCTTCACTGATAGATGGCTATGCTCCAAGCCATGCCTTTTTTGGGGACCACTTTGGCATACTCAAACAGGTCTACACTTTTGGGTGGACCATACATTCATCCAACATGTAAATGTGCAACATGGCATGGTTCCCTCAAAACGAACCCTTGTCACGGTCAATTCCCGAAAGCATGGCGAAGGGTTCTTCCGCTGGGTTCACTTGAGTTGTTCTCATGAGAGTCATTACAAGGTGTCATTGCAAGGAATCATCATCATGCAGTCATTGCAAGGAGTCATTGCAAGGAGTCATTGCAAGGAGTCGTTGCAAGGAGTCATTGCAAGGAGTCATTGCAAGGAGTCATTGCAAGGAGTCATTGCAAGGAGTCATTGCAAGGAGTCATTGCAAGGAGTCATTGCAAGGAGTCATTGCAAGGAGTCATTGCAAGGAGTCATTGCAAGGAGTCATTGCAAGGAGTCATTGCAAGGAGTCATTGCAAGGAGTCATTGCAAGGAGTCATTGCAAGGAGTCATTGCAAGGAGTCATTGCAAGGAGTCATTGCAAGGAGTCATTGCAAGGAGTCATGGCAAGGATTGCAACTTGCACTTGACTCCTTGCACTTGCAACTTGCACTTGACTCCTTGCACTTGCAACTTGACTCCATGCACTTGCAACTTGCACTTGCTCCATGCACTTGGCTCCTGCACTTGCAACTTGCACTTAACTCCGTGCACTTGCGACTTGCACTTGACTCCATGCACTTGGCTCCTTGCAACTTGCAATGGCTCTCATGACTCCTTGCAATGACTCCTTGCAATGACTCCTTGCAATGACTCCTTGCAATGACTCCTTGCAATGACTCCTTGCAATGACTCCTTGCAATGACTCCTTGCAATGACTCCTTGCAATGACTCCTTGCAATGACTCCTTGACTCCTTGCAATGACTCCTTGCAATGACTCCTTGCAATGACTCCTTGCAATGCAAGTCAAGTGCAAGGAGTCAA